AATATCACGCAGGGGACCCCAGAAATGAGCTTCACACATTGTACCCATATGGAAGCGAACCCGGTTTTCAAGCGTGATGTTTAACGCTTTTAACAATTAGGCTACGAGTGACTTACTGACAAACATAACTCTACCACTGAACTGCTACAAACTTTTCATGGAACTAACACATGGAAACAGACCCACCAAAATCCATACAAAAATTAAGCTGAAGCAAATACTCTTTCAAATATTTCACCTTTTCAACTCAAATTGTTAATCTTCTGCACTACAGCCAATGAAATGTCGGACATCATTCCCATAACTAACACTTACCTTCAATTTAAAAACACAGAAATATTTATGCTGACACATTCATACACATGCATCCATGAAACTCTGTGCAGTCTTTTTCACTGTAAGTACAAACATACTGACAGTAGAAGTCGAACAAGTCGTTCTGATCATGACACAACTAATCCGTTCCTTCACTTGTATCCGAGATAAAGCCATTTCTACACCTACTCCTAATGAGTTTTAACAAGAATTAGGTGTATAGCGGACTCCAAATTCGACCACAATCACTAGTCATCTTCAATAACTAAACAATCACGGACAACTTCACAGTTGGACATGTTGCCATGGTAACGAATAACTGCTGTTGAGTCTGTAATTAGTAACTAATGTATTTTTCACAGGTTGCCTTACCCATTGCCCATATTGAACAAAAGGATATACCATTTGTACAAAAACACTTTTTTACAACGGCTGAGAGGTGAGGTTAAATGGGGTCAAACATCACTTATTTCAGGCAGGCATTGTTGTTTTACACCACACTCGTCGGTATTCCAAATATATGACAGCAAATTGTAAATATTGATAAAGGTATGCTACTATATGGATGACAACTTATATTATGATGTGATGTTCTTTGCTGTAGTATTTCATTCTTGCTTGAAAACGGTATAAGAACCTTTACCAAAACACGCATTAAGGTATGCTACTATATGGATGACAACTTATATTATGATGTGATGTTCTTTGCTGTAGTATTTCATTCTTGCTTGAAAACGGTATAAGAACCTTTACCACAACACACATCATAATATAATAAAGAAGTTGTCATCAACAAAGTAGCATACCTTTCCTATTATTTTTCAGCTTCTAAAATGCAAATCCAACAGATCAGATTGTAAATTTTCCAGCTTGGACCATACAACCCATTAATTGACATCATGGTCATCAATCTATGCATTTGGGACATGATGAAATGCATTAACCAACTCACGAACCTGACCCAAACCCTGTTATAGGGAAACCACTGTTGGGAACTGAACATGATCTTAGGCGAGGTATGCTAACGCCTTGACAACTGAGCTACCATTTGATTAGTATTGAATGTACATTAGGTTTGTGTAGAGTGAGTCGGTTTGGTTTTACGCTGCTTTTAGCAATATTCCAGCAATATCATGGCAGGGGACACCAGAAATGGGCTTCACACATTGTACCCATGTGGGGAATCGAACCCAGGCCTTTGGCGTGACGAGCAAACGCTTTACCACTAGGCTACCCCACCACTCAAAGTTTGTGTAAAAGCATAAATAGTACCTGTAATGTCATTCTACTGTTTTGAACGCATATTTTCAGGAAGTGAGGTGATGTGAGGTGAAATTGGGTTTAACGTCGTGCTTGAGAATATTTAAGCTCTGTAATGCGGCAGCATACTAGCCCAGAAAGCTGGTTTTATAGTGCTAGCCCACTGAGATACCATGCCGCAGTGAAGCATGAATACCCCACTCAGACACATTATACTGACTCCGAGCTGACCAGTCCTTGTTGTACCCATCAATGCCGAGTGCCAGGCAGGGACAAACAAGCACCATATTTTAACGTCTTTAGGTATGATGCGATTCGGGATCGAACCCACAGCGACCTTCGGCTCTCCGGGCGGACACTCTAACCACTACACCACAGAGGCGTTCCTTTTCAGGAAGTAAGTCTCCTGGTGAACGTCACAATAGTCAATGTTGTTTTCCACAAGTGCTGGTATAGAAACATAAATAGTTCTTGCAATGTCATTCTCCTGCCCTGAACTCATATTTTTATGAAGTAATAATACATTCTGAGCAAATCAATACATAGATAAATAAAAACTCATTCAGGCAGCCTGCCAAATCAAATGTGGTTGGCATGTGACTCTTGCACGGAACCTATCAAAACACAAAAGGCAATTTTACGCTGCGTTGAACAGCATTCCAGTCCTGTCACAGCACAGGAGCCTAATGTAGGAGTCTCTACTGTCTACCACTTGGAAGGAGCCTTGATCCGGGTATAGTGTGACCAATCTAGAATCATAATCAAGCCAAGGGTAGCTTGTCATGCTAAAGACCCAGGTTCAATTCCCCACATGTGTACAATGTGTGAAGCCCATTTCTGGTCCCCCCACCATGTTATTGCCAAAAGCGGCGTAAAACCATACTCACTCTGGTGTCCCCCGCCGTGATATTGCTGGTATATTGCTAAAAGCGGCGTAAAACCATACTCGCTCACCCACTCACCTCAGCCATACATAGGGACACAAGTCTGCCCAGCAAACTGAGTGAGTGAGTGAGTGAGTGAGTTTGGTTTTATTCCGCTTTTAGCAATATTCCAGCAATATCAATGGCGTGGGGGACACCAGGAATGGGCTTCACACATTATACCCATGAGGGAATCGAATCCGGTCTTGAAGCGTGAGGAAGAGGAGGCTTTAACCACTAGGCTTCCCTGCCACCACCCCAGCAAACTGAAGCAGCTCTGGAATACACATTCTTCGAATACATACTTTCAAGGTCTCGTTGTCCGACACAACTGACACAAAATTATTAGATGCACATTCAGATTGGTAAAATTAAAAAATTCTCACTCTTTGCAGAAATAAACCTCAGTGAAAATGACCAGAAACCATTTGACACAGTCCCTGAAGGAAACACTGACATGTTGATGACATCAGTACAGGGTGAAATCAGGAAGTTCGGATTGCTCAACATTTTCCTTTGAATTCCTGTCATTCTGCTTCCTACTGCGATCTATTGGCGGATGTCACGAGCTTGCTAGTCAATGTTGTTGGTCACAAGTGCTGGTCAACACATTTCTCTCGTACACATCATCATTCATTACATCAAATCAGCTGATTGATGGCGTGATGCAGTACTGAAGAAACTGCATGAATATAAGCGTATTGAACAAAGAAACACACACACAAATTAACTGACATGAGTTTAAAATATTCTATAGAATCGTCAAGAATTACTTACAGTCAGTACCACTCCCCATGTTGACAATGGATTATGGATTAGAAATTGATGATAATAATGATAATGATGATGATGATTGAGCAACTGAACAGAGCTCCAACACATCAGTAATACATACCACCCACCTCCTCTCAACACTTCACGTTATCACTGTTTGGATATCTGGATCAAGTCTATAGATAGCAAGACTTTAGGTTTTTTTCGACTATGACTTGTAGTGAGTTAAAATTTATCATCACATCAGCAATATCTGTGACTTGTAATACACCTGGAGCTACAATCTTTATAACGTTTGCCTTTAAACTCCATTTCTTTTCATGTTATCTTTGCGTCTCACAGGTTGTACAAAATGGGTACAGAAAGCTAGGTGCAGGAGGTGGGCACCTTCGGCAACAGTAGGGATTCTGGGTTGGAATTAGCTCACAGCAAAATGTTCAGGTTGTGAGTGAGGATACTATCGATTGAAAGTCTGGCTGGGGGGCATGGCTGATGCTGTGTCATCGTACCCAAATGGCGTTGAAGTAAAAATGACTGGATTATTTGGTACAGACATTAACATTTAAAGGCTTCTCTCATATAGCCGGAATATTGTTGAGGGTGGTATAAAAACAACACATACACTCTATATTTCATAGTTAACAGATGTTTGCTAACTAGTTAGATTGGCTGACCATAATCCCTTCTCACTGAAAAACATTGATATCAATATTCTATTTAAAACTAAGATCTTGGTTGAGAGGTAGCAGTGAATAGCTGAACACAACTGTCAACTAAAAGTTTGGTGTTTCAACAATCCCATGAAGATATGGGTCCTCACCAACTCATGCTTGTCGTAAGAAGTGAAGGTCAGGCTCGCTGACAGGTTGGTGCATGTCGTTGTATCCCAATTGTATCCCAATTGTATACATCCATGCTCATGATGTCAACCACTGGATGGTGTAATAAAGAATGTTTTACAGACTGAAATTGAATTGCTGGAATATTGCTGAGAGAAGCGACAAGCAACAACAAACAAAAATAGAGCTTCACGTCTTAAACACTGACTGTCAATTATCATTGACATGTAGAACACCAGCATTCATAGACAGACAAAATCACAGACATTGAGTGAGTGAGTGAGTTTAGTTTTACGTTGCACTCAGCAATATCCCAGCTATATGGCGGCGGTCTGTAAATAATCGAGTCTGGACCAGACAATCCAGTGATCAACATCATGAGCATCGATCTGTGCAATTGGGAACCGATGACATGTGTCAACCAAGTAAGCGAAACTGACCACCCGATTCCCGTGAGTCGCCTCTTACGACAAGCATAGTCGCCTTTTATGGCAAGCTCATGGGTTGCTGAAGACCTATTCTACCCCGGATCATCACGGATCCACAGACATTGAGAGCGTAGGGGTAGCCTAGTGGTTAAAGCGTTCGCTCATCACATCGAAGACCCAGGTTCAATACCCCCTCTAGGGTGCAATGTGTGAAGCCCATTTCTGGCATCTTCTACTGTGACATTGCTGGAATATTGCTAGAACTTGTAGAAACAGCATAAAATAAACTCACTCACTCACTCACAGACAACAATGGATGGAGTCACCAGAAGGAAAACACTATCCTTGTTAGAGAAACCAATAAATCAACGAAAGACAAATTAGCTCTTCAGCCAGCACGGATTCTTGCCAACTGAACCCTGGGCCTGGACACCATTGTGGTAAGTGATAAAACTCATCAAAGGTAATTAATCCATGCAGTGTCAGTAACTGTTCACTGGTAAATCAATAATCAAAGTGTGATGACCTTATCCTAGAGCTACAAACGCTTTGTTGATAGGGACATTGATCACATCAGATAAACAGCTGTTCAGAGACTACAGGTTTCAAGTGTACTCATTTGTGTATTAACCGATGTACTCTATTAATTGGTCCTCAATAGTAGCTGTCATGGAAACTGCAATGGCTGAGCGGTCTAGGCGGCTGACTTTGTGTGCCGGCGATTAGGTGCCTGATTCTGAAGGTGTGGGTTCAAATCCCAGATGGGACTCAACCCAACAAAAGTACTAAAGTACTGTCGGAAATGCTAGAAAAATGCTTTTTAGCCTTAATACTTTGATAAAGGTGATAAATGTACTATGTTGTCAATATATCAACTCACCTATAGTGTACCTAATTTTTATTTCAATCGATTTAACATTCCCATGCATTTAAAGGGCAGTTTACAGGAGATAATATGGTACCAAAACAACAACTTAGGATTTTTTTAGAGTTCAACAACAGAAATCTGAAATAGTCTTTACATTTATGCTAATAATACAGGTGGTGTAAAAATATGAATCAACGATTTTCTTTAACAAATAAATGTTGAATGTTTGTGTTACTTTACTTAATTATTGTTTCTTTATTGAAGAAATATTAATATAAATGTTAAGTCTTGATAAATAAGTTTCCCGTCATGCATGCACATCTTTATCACAGCGTCCACTAAGGCCAACTATTTGCAGTCAATTGTTGCAAAGGTTTATAAGATTTTGTGCTTGAAAAAGACAGATGTCAACCTGTCATTAGTTTAGAAAGGGTTTATTACAGAACTTGTAGAGCTGTTGGTATGTCTTACCAACAAGTTTAAAATATTGTAAACAAATCAGACAAGACAGACCCCGTCTCAAAAGCAAAACCGGGACGGAAAACCATCCTTGACAACTTTGACAAGGAAGTACTTAGTCTACAAACTTTATGAGAAGAATAATATATATATTCTAAAGAAGCTTAAAGGTCACATGCAACCAAAAAATCAAACATAATTAAAACACAATTATCACTTCTTCATGACATATAATATGCATTGCTGATTATGAAAAAACAAATAAACAAAATTATAAGCGATAATCGACAAATCAAAAGTGCAATATTTTGTACTTGGGTTTATCACTTCCCTCATAAACGCAAGCAGCCAAAATTATAAGGGATACCAACCCAGTCAGAGCTTGGGGTGGGTGCACTCAAGTGTAACGGCTGGTTCATTAGCAGATGCCGCCTTCACGGCTCATTGTGTGTGTATATATAGAGATGTTGGGTTTTGTAAATACATGCTCATTTTTGTGTATAACATTTTGCAATCAACAGACATCATAACATGTCATGTGTTCAAGTATCACACCTGCCTGTCTGTGTAATTACATAATGTGACAGAGACCGAACTCGGCCATAAATCAATGCGCTTTTGTTTATGGTGTATAGCCTGATTGGTGTTAAGTTCAAATTGCATGTGGTCAGTGATCGCAGTTGTGTATTGAATATTGTCATTAGCAGACAGGCAGGCAGACACACAGGTGTCAATAAAACAAGACATTGAGTTTTGTCTGTGACAGCTTACATATCTATATCACAGTTAGAAATTGTGTCAACGCTTAAATAATGACATTGCTTTTAAGCATCGAACTGAGAAAGTGACTCGGTAAGAAGAACGTGTGGTGAAATAGACAAATGAAATTATATAAACAGTTTATTTACTGTCATAACATATAAAAGCTCGCGCCTGTGAGATATCAACAAAACATTATGAAAATAGCTCACACCAAAGCCTTCACCGAAAGTATTCACCAGACAGCCCGCTTCCAAGTTGCGCGAACCTATTTCACTGCGCGACGCTATGAGCGCAGCCCAGCTGTTGAAACCCAGATTCCCCAGAAAAGTCTGGGGAAAATTAGTGAAACGCTTTGAACTCCGATTTCGCGCTTTTTTTTCATCGCTATTTTTCAACTTTATAAGTTGAATTTGCATTTTGACGCTTTGTTTCGTAAGTCCATACCGAAAAGGTATCAGAATCTGCAAAGTTGTGTTTTACGCTGCATGTGACCTTTAAACCAGAGACTTGGCCTTGCAACAACCAGAGACTCATTACTTGGGCCTTGCAACAACTAGAGACTCATTACTTGGGCCCTTGCACAACCAGAGACTCATTACTTGGGCCTTGACGACTAGAGACTCATTACTTGGGCCTTCCTGCAGCAACTAGAGACTCATTACTTGGGCCTTGCAACAACCAGAGACTCATTACTTGGTCCTTGCAACAACCAGAGACTCATTACTTGGGCCTTACAAGCGACTAGAGACTCATTAAGCGACTAGAGACTCATTACTTGGGCCTGGCAACAACTAGAGACTCATTACTTGGGCCTTGCAACAACTAGAGACTCACTTGGGCCTTGCAACAACCAGAGACTCATTACTTGGGCCTGGCAACAACCAGAGACTCTCATTACTTGGGCCTTGCATGACCAGAGACTCATTACTTGGGCCTTGCAACAACTAGAGACTCATTACTTGGGCCTTGCAACAACCAGAGACTCATTACTTGGGCCTTGCTGGCAACAACCAGAGACTCATTACTTGGGCCTTGCAACAACTAGAGACTCATTACTTGGGCCTTGCAACAACCAGAGACTCATTACTTGGGCCTTGCAACAACTAGAGACTCATTACTTGGGCCTTGCAACAACCAGAGACTCATTACTTGGGCCTTGCAACAACCAGAGACTCATTACTTGGGCCTTGCAGCTAACTAGAGACTCATTACTTGGGCCTTGCAGCGACTAGAGACTCATTACTTGGGCCTTGCAACAACTAGAGACTCATTACTTGGGCCTTGCAACAACTAGAGACTCATTACTTGGGCCTTGCAACAACCAGAGACTCATTACTTGGGCCTTGCAACAACCAGAGACTCATTACTTGGGCCTTGCAACAACCAGAGACTCATTACTTGGGCCTTGCAACAACTAGAGACTCATTACTTGGGCCTTGCAACAACTAGAGACTCATTACTTGGGCCTTGCAACAACTAGAGACTC